ATCTGCAGGGAGAAGGAAGATCTTTGGAGCCCAAAGATCAGAAAAACAAGGAACAAAATGAGCAGGAACAACTGCGGAGGGAAGAGCTCAAACTGGAGGCTCTATCATCAGTTTCCAGGTCAGAGACACCTTCTTTTCCCAGGCACAATGTGGACTTGTGTCATTTGGAGAATGTTTTTTTGCCTGAGGAAATGGGATCAGCATTTCTTCCTGAAGAACCTGTCTCTGTGGGTCAGCATGCTAGTGAGGATGTACTGCTGAAAGCTTATGTCACAGAAGCAGGTTCTGGATGTCAACCACCCGCTGTCAGCCCTCTGTCCTCAAATAACCTGAACCCAGTGGGTGAAACTCCAGTGACGCCTCCACACACATGCCATATCTCTGACCAGGCAGAAGACCTAGAAGACTCTGGCCGCTTTTCCATCGGTGGTCAGGATGTGGGAGAAGCTGACTGGGATGACAGGACAAGACTGGGCAGGGAGGATGAGCACAGTGATGGACTCGGAAAGGCTGTTCAGAGTTTTGATAAAAGAGATGCTCCACTCCATGGAGGAGTGGCAGCACCTTCTAGTGCAGAGAACCCAGAGGCTTCTGTTCCAGCACAGCCTTCCTGTGATACCAAGACCTTGGAGCAACCTGATCCCACAGATGCTTATCTTGTTACAGAAAACTTGGGAAAAGCTGAGCTTCAGGACTTCATGCCAGCTTTACCCTCAGAGCTCACCTCTGTGGCTTCAATGTCTGGCCCACGGCAAGAGGGTGCTAGTGGAACAGCCCATGTGACCCCTAAGGACTATACTGGTGCCAACTTGAACAAACTACTAGACTCTGTAGAGAACCAAGCTGCTTCTGTACGAGCACGGGACCCAACATCAGGGGAAACTGCTGTTGTACGTACTGATCCAGGGGAGGCCAAGACTTCCCATGAACTCCTTACTTCTGAAGAAGACTTTCATGAAGACCTTAGTGGCCCGTCTTCTTTTTCTGTAATATACACGAGCTGTCTTCCTCTAGATGGGAGCCTTCCTGAGGATAGGAGGACTGTGGCTGTCACTGAAGGACCTCTGGAACCACCCCAAACACCAGATAGGACTTCCACTCCCCTGAACCACTCAGAGACAATTCAGCAAAACCTCCCAGAGAAAAGTGCCATTATACAACGAAAAGAAATGGGAGCAAATGTAGATCATGAAGCACAACAAATGCCTTTACTTGATCAATCTGACTGCATTTTAAACCAAAAAGAGCCTGGATCCAGAATCTCCAGTGTCCTGAGCACTCTAACTTGGCCTTCTGAAGAAGACATGGTCCTTGCCGTGAACCAGCAAGAACAACCTCTGTCCCCTGTGTCCTACTCAAGCCTACCTCTGGTGTCTGAGCCTGATGCCAAACAGCTTTCTCATCCTCCTTCCCGTGTCCAAAGCCCCAGCCAAGCTCAGACCCCAGCACTTAATGCAAATCACCTTGCTCAACCTCCAGCCCCTGAAAGTTACCAGCTGCTGGCTCCTGTACCCCACTCCAGGCAACATCTCAACTGTGGTATGGACAATAATAAGTCACCAGCCATTCTCCCTACTATAAACCATCCTCTCCAGACTGCCACCTCTGTGCCTGATTCTAACACTGTGGCCTCTGCTTCTGATGGAGAAGATGTAGCAGAGAAAGATGACCTTGTTCCAGTAACTAGAGAGTGGGATCTTGGTGACTCAAGTACCCATGATACAGAGACTTCTGATGACTCAGGGGTCAGTTTGTTGGCCAAAAGCTTTTCTGCTATTGGAAATGAGGCATTGGCCGGCTGCTCTGACACCAGCTCTGAAACAACAGATCAGCACATGGATATACAGCATGGAAAATCCTCACCTGACCACCCTTCTTGGCCCTCGCTGGAAAGCCTGATAACATCCACAGACTCCAAGAGCAGAGACTCTGCACAGCCGCTTCCAATGCTTGCATTCACCAATCCAATCCACTTCCTCCAGCTCAGCCCTCCATCACCGCCAACTACCAGAAGGACTTCCCAAGAGGACGTCTCAGGGGAGCTGCGATGGGAGCAACAGGCGGGCATCTTTGGTGTGGATACAAAGAACGTTCAAGCTCCATTGGCAATCACAGAGAAAACAGAAGATGAGAGAAGGGTCAAGCAAAGGCTGGAAAGAGAAGTGGGAGAACACCACTTGGTAGCTCAGCCAAAGGAGGAAATGCCCAGACATTCACCCTTGGAAAAATCATCAAGTTGGCCAGACAAAAAGCCGATCAGGGTAGTTGCACAGGAGCCAGCAGCCAATCAAGGAAACCCAATTAAACGCCGAGTAAAAAGCAAAGACTGGCACCGGCAGGGCCTGAAGAGGACATCAGTACCACCAGACATCTTGCCGGGTGAGTCATCTTCTCCATTCTCCCCCAAATTTATTGCAGATAACAAAAGTTTAGGATTACATTCAATAGGCAATGTGATAGAGAGGCATGAGAGCTGAGAGCTGGGCATTGCTCTTGTGCCTTTCTGGTAATACTCCTTGCTCAGCCTTGTAGTCTCATTGCTGTCCTGCCCTAAGCTCTCCCCCAGCTCCTCTCTGCTGCTCTGTAACCAGTCCGTCCTGCTTATTCTCTGAGTAGGGCTGCACTCTGGGGCTCAGTCCCCTCATTTCATGCTTCAACAGAGAGCTTGTCTCGCTTCACGGATCCCTCACCTGTTCACTTTGCATCCAGTTTCTCTTCATGTCCTTTCTCCATGTTTAACGATCTGTCACCCTTACTCAGTAACACGGACTGTTTTGGCCTACTTGCAGGAATGAGTTTCTTAGTGGGGCTCAGTTCAGAGCTTCTGCTCATTATAGAATGGTTTGGGTTGGAAGGGACCTTAAAAATCATCTAGTTCCAACCCCTCTGCCCTGGGCAGGGACACCTTCCCCTAGATCAGGTTGCTCAAAGTCTCATCCAACCTGGCCTTGAAACCTGTCCCACCTCTGCTGCCATCGCATGGCCGTTGCGTTTTGCTGCACTTGCAGCAGCCCGTTTCCGAGCCGTGAGGAAGACGCGTGCACACACCTTCAGCACCCGTATGTGTTACGGCATGTTTTAGTTCCTTGTTTATCTGCTACCTCCCTTTATTTTGCAACTGACACCTTTAGGTTCTAATTTGACCTTTAAAAGCGATGATCTTCCTGAGAACGTAGGATTTGAGATTACAGATAAGAATGCAAATTTGTCAAATCCAATGTCCCAACTTGCATAGAAGCCAAATCACTGATGTCACAAATAGGAAACGTGCATCTTCAGTAATGCAGTTCATTCAGACAGTACTTGCTGTCAAGATGCATGTCTGTTCTTTATTATATCTTGCATGACCTTTAAACATACTTGCTTCTTCTCAGCTCTTTATTTTCCAAGCTTCACAACATGCTGGATTTTTGGCACAGAGGAAAAGGAGGGGAATGGCGAGGGGTGTAAATGGCTTGGCAGCACTTGAATCTCGAGATTTGTTCATGTATTTGACTGTAAATTCTTGGTTCCAAATTCTAAAACATTCAAGGCAACAGTACTGTCTTTCCCCTGACCCATACTTGCAGCTCAGTCTTTCGGCTTGCTTCCTCCTTCTGCCTCCAATGAATTTTATATATGCATCATATATATACATACAGTTTATATATGCACCCTATTTAATTAAAGCCCTCACAAAACAAAAGAAAAATCCACACTTGCTCCATTTGACATAAACAGAAGCTGACTCAAACAGCAGTTTGTGAATGCTGGCATAGTACATCAATGTGAGAGTTGAATTACAGCATTTATTCTCAGGCCACATCCCTTCTGAGGCTCTTCACAGGAGTGACTTTGTTAGATGTCCAGCATTTCTGCTGAGAGTTCAGCATTTCTGCTGCTGTCCAGCATTCACTGAGAGTTTTCGGGGCTCAGCATCCACAAAAGACTTTCAGACATGACTAGTGACTTCGGATCTGTTGATCCTCCGACACCTGGCCCAAGTTGCTGGAAGGGGAAAGGCAGTACCAAGTAGAGCCTACAGCAGTGTCTTCCCTGAGGCAACCGAGGATGGAAGCTTTAGTTACTGTCATCTCTGAAAGTGTGGGCCTTATTCTTGGTATGAAAAGCGAATGTGACTAAGTAACAGATGTTAAGTGTAAGTAATGTCAAGGATTATTAAAACTGGAAAGTTTCTGACCCAGAAATAAAGGTCAGGAGGGCACCTATACTCCAACCCAAGACCACTTAGATGGCATATGGGTAAATGGTATTTGTGTATCATGAGGATTGCAGCTGAACTCTAAAGTCTGACTTACGTGTTTACTGTTTAATTGTTCAATTCATGCAGAAATCTCTCCTGTTCCTTCAGAGGAAGAAGCTCACAAGACACACAGGGAACCACTCGTCAGTTCAGAAACAGTTATATTGCGGTAAGTGTCTCAAAGAACCCTCAGAGTTTGCCCCTATCCCTGTGTACAACAGATATATGATGCTCTCCATTGTTCCTAGAGGTACTAAAGATGATAAGGAGGAGTAGAAAACTGTAATAACATTTCTTAGGCCTGTGCTTCAGTCCATGCCCTCTGGGAGAGGACTGCATTGCAACAGTATTTCTGTCCCTTGAGGACAGTGTTTCCATCAAGCCAAACTTTGTCCTTCCTTAAGTAAAGCATGTGAAGCCTGAGCTTGTTGGAAAGAGAGGTCCTTGCTGTGCCAGATCTGCTAATAAGATTTGGATAAGCCATCTCTGGCACTGTGCTCTTCATTCGCTGTTTGTTTTCAAATCCTTATTCCCTGACAGAGAGAAGAAACCTGCAGATGCAATGGAGAACTTCAAACGTCGGCACTCCAAACTGATCAACTCCTGTAAGTACCTTCTGCCTGAAATGCTGTAGCAGACCCCTCTCCTCGATGATCCCTCACCCTTGCAGTGAGCACAAAGGAGAGGGGCTGCTGCCACATGGTAGCAAGGAGAAGGTATTAGAGAGCAGTGTTCAGCGGAGGCAGTGAAACCAGAGTTCTGAAGTTCACTCAGGCAGCCAGTGAGCTTTGCTTTATAGCAGGTGCATGTCATCTAATGTATTCAGTTATCCTACTCTGAGGCAGTAGCAGTTTTCTCCAGATTGAAGCAGAGGGTGAGTAGCTGCTGTGGAAAGTGTAAATGTATGTGCCTCTTTTCACAGCAAGATTGCTGTATCAGGAGTACAGTGATGTGGTTCTGAACAAGGCCATTCAAAGCCAGAAGAGAGTGGATTCTTTCGCAGAGGATATAGAGTCGAGTTTCCCAAACTCCCCAAGGCTACGGAGGAAAGTGCTGTCTCCCCAGGACTCGTATTTACAACGTCTGTCAGTCTCATCGAACGCGTCCCTCTGGCAGGACATCCCCATGATTCGGGGCAGCAGAATGCTACTCAATATGTCTCGTGATGAGCAGAAGCTGCAAGAGGTAATGGACAGATGTAACAAGGTAGATGAGTGGTCTGTAGTCAAGAAAGGGTCCCCAGAAGGGTGGTTAAAACGGAGAGCAAAGATGTGTGATGTGGGAGTGCAGGTGGCTGAATGCAGAGGTCACCTCTGCCCATGTAGGCAGTATGGGGATGTGGTACCAGTCCTTGTGAAGTAGTACAGTGCTGAAGTTCAGAATTGTAGCGGAAAGGAGCACTGAACATCAGACTCTGGACCATATCAGTAACTTCATGGAAACAGACATGGGGAAATTGGAATGAGATAAAACAAGGAATTTTGAGCGTCTTCGGTGCAAAAGAAAGTATTAAAGTGGAAGACTTCCAGCATTCTCTCACCCATAAGCTTGTGAGAGATGCTAATAAAACCACAGAGAATTGTAGCTCCTGTGGTAGAGTGTGAGTTTACCAAATTGACCTGTGTGAGCTGCAGGGCTCGAAGGAAACAGGAAGACGTATAGGTTCAGCAAAATGGTACGTAGAGAAGCTGGGTAGGGAAAATGAGAGGAACTGAGAGGTAGATGAGAGGATCCACAGAAAGAGGCAAAAACAGCAGCATGGGAAATGTGGTGGAGGAGAAAAACGTGGGTCATCTGGATGCTGAAAAATTTATGGGAGCATTTAAAACAGGGAACCTAGTGAAAGTGGAGTTGAGGAGGAATAAAAAGTAAAATGAGAGCAGGTAGCTATTTTTCTATTAAGTCATACCACAAGCCTGTCTTCTAAAGAAGGAAAGGCGTATGGCACATAATGGCATGCTTGCCCTTTGTTCCTAAAGCCTCTCTTCTGTAATTACGCACTACTTACATCACATTCCGGGAGGTTTTCTTGCTTTGCCCCATCTCCTTTCCATAAGATTCCTCACAGACTTACATGGTTTGCTGATGCTGTGCTCCCTTCTTTCACCTCTCAAGGCCAAGTTTGAGCTGATAATGTCTGAGGCTTCGTACCTGCGCAGTTTAAACGTGGCAGTGGATCATTTCCAGCGATCAGCAGAGCTCCAGGCAATGCTCACCAATCAGGAGCGCCAGTGGCTTTTCTCCCGCCTTCATGATGTACGCGATGTCAGCGCCAGGTGAGATATGGCCGTTCCCTTCCAGGACTAACGCCCTCCCTGAAGCACAGACACAGCCCATCGTTTCCATCAGTAACATCTCTCACTTCTGTTCTGTGTGTTCACCAACCTTCAAGGTAGACACGGACACATAGCACTTCGTGATTGCATACCAACGCTGCCCTGAAAGGAACACGTGCCTTTGTAGGTGACAGGGCAATGTAAATCTTAGTTTTAAGTCTCAGGTATTACGGTGTAATTGTGCACAGAGCTCATTGCAGGAGACCAAAATGATCAAAATTCTGCTGTAATCATGCCCTATTGGTTTCAGCTACAACTGAACTTGACTAACTAGACCTAAGCCCAAACCAAATGCAGCTCCTGCCAAATACAAGACAAAAGAAGCAGCTGCATGAGCTCTGACCAAAAAAAAAGGAAAAAAGAGGAGGGGGGAAGTAAGTTACAGCCATCACTTGACAGAACCTAATGTGAATCAATTAAGCATAAGACATAAAATGTAGACATGACCCCACATGCATGGAATCCTGTATGTTGTAGGATTCTGTTCTTTTCTCCTGCAAGGCTTGGCTACATACATCGCTAAGCTAGTAAGGTTTGCTGCTACCTTGTCCATTTCTACTAGTGAGATTATTCTAGAGATGTCTCAATTTTCAGTTATTTCCTGACCATGCCTTTAGAAGTAGCAAGTATGACCTCTCAAGAGCAGTGGTCTTTTGCCTCTGATTCTTCCTTGCTGATATCTAGCCTTAAATTGTCATTGTACAGGCATTATGCTCTCTCTAGAAGTAAACAGCTGTCATGTGCTTATATGTGGGCTGTCATGATTTTAGAGGACTGAGGATGTTCCTGCTTTACTAAATGACACTGATATTTCACTCTCCTTTTATGTCACCACAACTATGTGCTGCAGTTTCCTCTTTGACTTGGAGGAGAAATTTGAGGAGGACATGTTCACCTTCCACGTGTGTGATGTCGCTCTGAAACACGCCCCCGAGTTCCGCAGGGTATATCTACCATACGTAACAAACCAGACATATCAGGAGCAAACCTTCCAGCGGTTACTGTAAGTTTTCTTATTTGTTACACACTTCTCCCTCCTTACTCCCTTGCTGCACCATCAAATATTCACTCTTTCAAATGATGGGGAATGCAGCAGGTACAGGCTGTTGGCCAGTGCTCACGCTACACCCCTAGAAGAACAGGCAGGAACCTTCTTCAATCCAATGGCATTTGGGAGAGCAGGACAGAGTGCTGCAGGCTCCTCTTCCATAGCATCGGAAAGAGAAAGAATAATTAATATCTGATTCTGTTGCAGCCTATTCTCTCTGTCTACTCTCTACTGAAGAGAGCAAAAATGACTGTCCTGGATAGTGGTTTTCAGCCTGTGGTTTTCAGATTACTAAGAATCAGAAAGTGATAATTTCAAGTGAAACTTCCAACCTCAACCATTCTGTTATTCTGTAATTAAGAAAAAGATGGCTGGTCTCAGTAAGCTTAAACTGGCTATCTATGAGTCTTTAAAATGGATTGAAAATCCTAGGGCTGTTGTCGATCTCTCTTGCTCTGTGTGGTGGAGTGCAACATCTCTTGCCCTCGTTTTCTGTATCCAGTGGTACAACCAAGCATTGCTTAGGCACGGGCCTGGTTCTGAGCAAGGTTTCCTTGCCACTTCTGCACTGCTTCCCTTCATAACAACCCAATTCTGGTGAAGCTACAGTGATTCCAAAAGAAGACGCTGGTCCCAACAGGCTATTCAGGCACCATCTCTGGGTGCTGCTGACTGGGAGAGTCTCACAATTGATTCTCTTCAGGGAAGGCTCAGTTCCACACAGAAAGGACCTCCAGGATATTGTCTACGGCAATGTCTACTGGGCCTACAACCTTCTTCCCCATCTCTTCAAGGATATGGGATTGGCTATTCTGGTTGCAGGTGCTACTCTTGTACCATTAGCTTTGTATCTGCTACTGCCCAGCATGGAAAACTGCATGGTAGTGAGTGGGTCTGAGAGGGTAAGAGAAACATTAGAGGGGAAGGCAGCTCCTCTCAGGAGTAGCAAGAGAGGGGAGGAAGCCATTTCCAGACCCTGGACACAGACCCTGGAGCTGGACCATTCAGTGTAAGGAAAGAATACGAACTACGATTGTCTCTCTGAACGGTGCATTATTGATGGGGGGAATCAAAATGTAGATGTTACTTACGGGTTTTATTCAAGAGGGCTGTGGCAGAAAGAGGAAAAATACAATAACAGTTGTATTGCCGTCCTTCTATAGCTGTTAGAAACCCATACTTGCTCCTTCTCAGCAGAGCAGTGCAGTTTCTTGACATCTCTTGCCCCAGGGACAAAACCTGACTGTTGGAACTGGAGTACTCCAACACTCCCTTAAATCTGATACTAGAAAGACTATTTGCTCTGATGCCTGGATGTCTTCTTTCCTTACCACTCCCGCAGAAATGGAAACGCAGGATTCCAGCAAGTCCTGGAGAGACTGGAAAGTGATCCAGTATGCCAGCGCCTCTCACTTAAATCCTTCCTCATCCTCCCTTTCCAGCGCATCACTCGACTTAAACTCCTCCTACAGGTAACTGTGTTGATTCTCTGCTTTCCTACAGTTTCTCTCAAGCTTACCCCCCTTTCAAGGCTGAAAGTCGTATAAGTATGAGCTAGCTCCAAGCACTGGATGGAAAGACTTCCCACAGCCCTTTGTGTGGCGTCTGTGGCAAGTTTGGCAAGCCGCTCTAAAGCCCCTCTGTCGCGTATGTCGCGAATACACCTTTGCAAAACCAAACCCGTTTGTCGTCACAGAAATGCCTGCTGTGCGTTAGACCAGCACCGCGCGTTGGATGTCATAGCCTCTGTGAGGCAGTGCAGCTTGGGTACTGGGTAGGACTTTGTTGCAACACTGCTTCAGTTGTACTCCAGTAAATAATTTATGGAGTCTTCTCAGAACACATGTTATTGAACTTTTTTGGCTTCCTGCTAGGAAAACAAATAAAGGGTTCCTTGGCAGCCCTCTGGAAGGCAGCCTGTCTCTACTCTTTGCCAGTAATGTTGACCAATAGGAGCCTTCCGGACAGGGAACAAGCAAGTCCTTAATGAATTTTTTGAGTTCTTTCTATGAACTTTTTAAAAAATTATTATTATTTGAGCCCTTTTTGAACAGGAGAAAAAGAGTATCAAGCAAAGAACATAAGGCTGTTTGTGCTTGGATTAGTGGTTGCTTCCTATGCCATGTAACTTGTACATGATAGTTGATACAGTTTAGATTTTCAGGGATGCCCTGTTCAGTGCAGCTTATCAGCTGCTGATACCGCAAATTTCTGGCCTTGTTATTTCCATATCTCATCATCTAGCACTGCTTTAATCTCTCTTGAGGCTGGCGTCTTGGTATCTCCTTGCTTCTCCTGCCCCTCCCAGAGACATATGTCCAGATTTCCCCAGCAGCCCTATGAAAAAACATATCCTCTCATGCAGAATATCCTGAAGAGAACTCGGCCAGGGTCTGAGGAGGAAGTACAAGCAACACAGGCCTATGATGCACTTGAAAAGGTAAGGCTGTCAACCCATCCTGCAGCCCTGCAGAAAGGGATTCTGAGGGGTTTGGTTCATAGTACCCTCAGTATGAGTCAACAAAGTGCCCTGGCAGCCAAGAGGGCTGACTGTGTCCTGGGGTGCATTAGGCACAGCTAAGCAGCTGAAAGAAGCGATTGTCTCACTGTGCTCAGCATTGTCGTCACCACACCTTGAGTACTGCGTGCGGTTTTTGGGCTCCACAATATAAGGAGGATGTAAAAAGATAAGAATGTGTCCAAAGGAAGGCAACAAAGATGGCAAAAGGACTAAAGGCGTGATTTATGAGGAGTGGCTAAGGATACTGAGTTTGCTTATCTTAGAGGAGGCTGAGAGGTGACCTCTTTGCTGTCTACAACTTCCTCCTGTGGGAGAGCGGAGAGGGTGGTGCTCTTCTCTCTGGTGACCAGTGATAGGATGTGAGGGAAGGGTTTAAAGGTGTGTCAGGGGAAGTTCAGGTTAGATATTATGAGAAAGTTCGTCACTGAGAGGATGGTCAAGCACTGGAATGAGCTCCCCAGCAAGGTGGTCATGGCCCTAAGTTTGACGGTGTTCAAGAAGCATTTGGACAATGCTCTTAGGTAACTTTTAGGGATATTCTGTCATTCTCCACAGCCATGCTGCATCATACAGCTGCAGGGCACTGAAGTGGCAGTGTCCTTTTTATTGATCCTCGCCTTTGTCTTTGATCCTCACCAGTAACAAATTAGTGTGTTCATGGGACTCTCCTGTGTGTGCAGTGGTAGCTGTGAGCAGAAAGCACTAAAGCAGGGGCCAGCTGGGATGCAACTGAACCTGCACCAATAATATCAAAGTACTTTTTTCAGGACTCGTTCTTACCAGTCTCCTAACCACCATTCCCCCTTTGTGATCATAGAATCACAGAATGGCATAGGCTGGAAGGGACCTCAGAGATCATCTAATCCAACCTCCCTGTCACGGGCAGGGACACCTCTCAACTAGACCAGGCTACTCAAGGCTCCGTCCAACCTGGCCTTGAACACCTCCAGGGAGGGGGCATCCACAACTTCTCTGGGCAATTTATTCCAAAGTCTTACCACCCTCGTACTGAAGAATTTCTTCCTAAGATCTAATCTAAATCTGTTCTCCTTCAACTTAAACCCATTTCCCCTTGTCCTATCAGTGCACACTCTTGTAAAAAGTCCCTCCCCAGCCTTCCTGTAAGTTCCCTTCAGGTATTGGAAGGCAGCTATTAGGTCCCCCTGAAGTCTTCTCTTTTCGAGGCTTACTTTTGTCTCTAGCAATCAACTCCCACTCTAGCCCCCACAGAAAATCTTGCTTTAAAAAAAAAAAAAAAAGCATAGCAACACATACTCTGCTGCATCCCTTATCCCTTCCTCTATGCTATTTATCACAGAGGAAAGATTTAGTCTTCTGGGACAACTTGTTATCTAAAATTTGTACAGCAGCATAAGGTAGGCTTGTTCTTAGCTAGCTCCTGCTCTGTCTAGTGATGATTTGACCTTCTTGGAGTGTCACTCCTTTCCTTACAATCTCTCCCCTATTCTCCACCACAAACCTAAAGACCAATTCAACATTATACATACCTCCTTAAAACTCTTAGGACTGCACCTGCGTGCTGCACAGCTCCCTGAACACTGCAGTCTGAGGTGGGTGGGCAAGATGTCATACTCTGAAGTACTTAGACTCCAGCTGTGTTCAAGCCAGCATTGTCTCTGTGACACTGTTACATAGCTGCCATGTGTCACAGGCAGCTTTTACAGGCTGAAGTACATCTGCTTCATTGTGTCTCGTCCTCACAGGTACCAGCAACCAGCTCTGGGTTGTGGAAAATTGAGGCTGATGTTTATCTAATCGGCCTCTTGTGTTTACAATGAAGCATCTAATAAGAGCTGCTTCTAAATGACCAGCAATTCAACTTCTGTCACCTGAGAGAGATGTATCTAGTACCCCCCCGAGTATCCCAAAGTTAAAAAAAATACTTATCACAGAGACTTCATCTAAAGAGAATCTTCCTTAAGAAAGAAGGATGATCATTGTAGGTATGGAGAATTTAGGTATGCTCGCCTGGAAAATACTTTTTTTGCAAGAGGTTGCCTAAGGAATTGTCACTAACACTGACGCTTGAGGAGCTCCTGGGAGTAGTGCTGATCCTACCAGGCAGTTCTGCTCCCACCTCACTGATTGTCTGTTTTCCTCTGCAGCTCATCAAAGATTGCAATGAAAATGTCCAGCGCATGAAGAGCACTGAAGAGCTGATCTACCTCAGCCAGAAGATTGAATTTGAGTGCAAGGTGAGCTCGTCCATTCCCTGGGCTTTGCTCTACCCTAATATCTTTCCTCTCTTTCCTCATAAAGTCACTTGCAATTACTTTTTGTTCTCCTCTCCACTATACACAGAACCTTTGAACCAGAATATTATACATGGGTCAGCTCTTCATCAGTGCTTCCCTTGCCCAATTGTTCATGTCAGCCTTCAGCTGAAGGTGCCTACCATGACTTACTCCTGTTCAGCTGGAGAGATGAAAGCACACTTCCTCTAGAGAACAGCAAAAATACAAATCCATAACTCATGGACACCAATTTCCTTGTACACACTTGACAAAACTTGTTCGTTTCTGTCTTGCAGATATTCCCACTCATCTCACAGTCGAGGCGACTTGTGAAGTGTGGTGAGTTGACAGCATTGGACTTCAACACTCTGAGTCCAAAATGGAAAGTCACCACCCGTCCCATCTACCTGCATCTTTTCAATGACTGTCTGCTCCTGTCTCGGCCGAAGGAGTGAGTGCCTCAACACAATTCTTGCTGCCCCTTCTAAAATACCTGTCTCTTTCTGGGTCTGTGCTTTGGTGAAAGAGTCCTTTCCCTCTGCCTGCCAGCAAGTGGCAGCGTTTGTCAAGTCACTCTCCTAACCCTACACTATGTGAGTATCATGCAAGTATGTGGAATCTGATATTCCCAACTCTTAATTGCAACATTTGATAATATAACAAGGTATCTTCTGGTCCCTAGTGCAACACTTCTGTTCTGCCTCTCCATCTCTATAATGTGAAACACTTTAAAAATAACCATTTATTCCAGTTCTGCTTAGCAAATAATTTCTTCCTAAAGGTTTGTCAAGAAACTAAGAGAGTTGTTGGTTGGTTGTGTTGGGGTTCTAGGGGTGGTGGTTTTGTTTTTAAGGTGTAAGCTATCAAATAATGTTCTGACAGGACACAGCTCAGTATTTCTACCCTTTTCATTAAGTCTCCTCTCTCTTCTCTGGCTTTGATACTTCTAGCAAGAGCAAGGCTTAAGGTGCCTGAGGCACATGAAGACTCATTAAAAGCTTTTTGCTTTCCTGACATCAGAAAACTACATGGACTTACTTTGTAACCCTCATCACCTTAAAACTCACAACTTGTGTTTTTCCTCCTCTTTACCTGCAGGGGTGGACGTTTTGTTGTGTTTGATCATGCCGCTTTCTCCGATGTGCGTGGGGAGAAGTGTGAGATGAAACTGCACGGAACAAACAAAAATGTTTTCCGTCTCTTTCTACTTCAGAATTACCAGGGAGTTTTTGTTTCGTACAGAGACACAGTAAGAGCTCAAGGTTACCCTCAGTATATCCCGTTACCATAGCCAGACACCTCCTAGGAGCCTGATAGTTGTCCCTCAACTAAGCAAATGCTGAAATAACAGATGCAGCTGCTGAGCAAAGGACTTGAAAAACATCCTTTTACTGTAAAGCCCCCAGTGAACCACCTTGCTCCTCTGTCATCATAGCTGCTCATACAATACTACTATGTTATACCATCAGCCTCCAAAAATGGGGGGTTTTGCCTTTTCCCATCCCCTTTCTCCACTTCCACTTCCTCTCCTTCCCCTAAGTGCCCCTTCCCTGACCCCTCCTGTGAGCAAGCCTGTAAACACCCCCTCCCCCATTCCTGTCATCAGGCTGCTGTCCCTCAAATTGAATCCTGACAGCTATCTGGTGCTGTTTTCCAGCAGTGAGAAGCTGAGGTGGATCTCTGCTTTGGCTCCTCCACGAGGAGAGCTGGACCTCCTGGAATGCCCTGGTGAGACTGCTCTGCTACTACAGAAATGGGGGTGGATTGGCTCGGAGGAGTTGGAGTCACTGTGAGATGGAACATCCCTGATACGACTCCAAGGCAGGGCAGAATACTTGCTTTTTTGTAAATAAAGAAGATATCCATGGGCTTTCCTTCAGTGTCAGGTTCTGCTAGTTATTTCACCTATTTTTACTCCTTATATTGGGTAGAAGACCTGTAGTCTCCCTTCAGGTTCTCTGCTCTTTAGTGTTTGGGCAGTTCCTTATCCCCTACCTCCCCTGGGGCTGACACACACAGGTTTACTGTTGCTTTCTAGTGTACCTTTATGATCTTTCCTTCTCTTTAGATGCACCACAGGTTCAATGCATAAAGACTTACAAGGCTCGGGAAAACGATGAGCTGGCTTTGGAGAAGGCAGATATCATCATGGTTATGCAGTACAGCAATGATGGTGAGCGGAATGAACAACGGCTATCTTAAATTATGGCTAGGAAGTTACTCTCGTAGTGTAAAGCTTTAACAATGCTATCAGGCTTCAGAAGGGAGCCTTTAATTCCTGATTGTTGGATTCAGAGGATGGAAGAGACTCTTCATCTTCATTAAAGCACTTTACTGGGAAGCTGAAAGGGGATCTTTTTCTTTGATCTTAGGGCCTCGTGGGAGGGGGCTTTTTGGGAAGAATGAAAAAATGTTTGACTGTTTTGCCTCGTGTTGTGCTTTTCTCCACACCGCAGGATGGATGGAAGGAGTAAAACTTTCAGACCGGGAGAGAGGCTGGTTCCCCTCAGAACACGTGGAACTCATCTCCAGCAAACACGCACGGCAGAAGAACCTGAAGGAGGAACAACGCGTGAAGAATGCCAAGCAGCAGGTCTTCTGCAAGAAGTAAGACTCTACTTTGTTTGGACCTGTACAGTCTCCCTGCCATAGGGAAACAATCTTTTTTCTATTGTGCCTCAGAAGAAACACCTTTGCGAAGAGCGTAATACAGCACTTTGACAGAACCAGGTGCTTTTTGCCAAAGAAAGCGGGAATTCAATCAGGAAAAATCATTCACTTCCTCTGTGTCACCAGGACTACGGCAGCAGTAGGAGGAAAAAAAGTTGCATGTATTGCTTGCTTTGTGGTAGTAGGGAGGGACTTTAATCGGACAGAGGTCTGGGATCTGGACTTCTGAAAATATATTCCTGGTTTTGCCACTGACAAGTCGCAGGACCTTGGGCAAGTCACTTCGGAATTCTGCCTCAGTTTTCCCGTCTGTGAAATGGGGGTAAAGTTACCTACCTCACTGGATGTTGTGAGGCTAAATTCACTAGTATTAGCATACTAAGAGCTTCGAGTTCCTGAGAAGGAAGGTGCTAAGTGCAAAGCACAGTATAGTTGAGGAGAGTTTTCCATTTGAATATCCTCTTGATATCTTGATGGTATCGATCTCCATAGTGTAATTTCCATTTAGAACAATTTATCTATTCGATTGTGCAAGTCTACTGTTTTTTAGATAGGCGAATATTACAGTGTCCATAAATTTAACTTAGTCTTGGCATTCTGTTAAGACTCCTTGACAGCATTAGAAAATCCACTTGAGTTAAGCAAAGTTTTCAGAAGCCACTGTGATTATTTCCCCCACCTTTAGAGGTATCAAGCTGAAGAATCTGTTTCACAAACGTTTCACTTCTCTTCTGAACAAGTGTCCCAGTAAGCCATCTGAAATGACCCTTTTTTACTCTGCCTCCCACTGAAAGTAGAACAGTGACTTTTGACAGAGATTTTTTTTTTTTTTTTCGTGTTGGTACATGCCCTATACGAAATAGCCATGACTAGGCATATGCAATGAAGTGGCACTTTCCTGCTGCTCGTCATCTGATAGCTGATGTGGTATCGCATGCACCATTTTGCACACTTCTAGAAAACACTGAGATATTTAGTCACTGTAGATAAAGTCAAAAAACATACCAGGGACTTTGTTCTTTTTTAGAACTCTCTGGTTTTAGGTCCAGTTTACATGCAGTCCTGCTTTTGTGCAGAACCTGTCTATTTGAGGACATGCCTTCAACTGTAAAATACTGTTTCTATGTTAAAGTGTTTGCGTTCAGTTCAGTCAATGCAAGATCAAGTATAAGAATCAATACACCAAAGAAAGCAACGTGTAGCCTTCTTGCATTTAATGTATTTGAAGAATTAGTTATCTTCAGATCTCCAGCTTTCTGTCTCTGTAACATTCTGCCTTTAATTCCCATTTATGTTGTATCTAGTATAGCTTATCACAGCCTATTTATATCAATTTATATCAATTTTAGCTGGATTAAAAAAAAAAGTTGCTTTTAGTCCTAATAAACTCATGCACTTCTCCAGTTAAAATAAACAACTTTCTGCTTTCCTCGTTACTTAGGTTTTCATCTCAAATATAAGTAATTCAATGTTTACTAAATATATATTAAGTATTTTCATTTTTTTCCCTAAAACTCTCCTTTCTAAGTGAATATTAAGCACAAATACTTAGCAGAGGCGGTGAAGAAAGCTTGCTTTACCAGCCATGCCCTAAGATTCTTCAGAGAGTTATCACCAGCCCTGAAGTGACTGCTGCTGCAGGTTCCATAGTGGTGTTAGTCATCAGTATGTCAAGGTAAGCTAAAGGGATGACCTACAGAAGACAGGAGTCCAGTCCATTGGAACATGATGCCCAGAGAAGTTGTGGATGCCTCATCCCTGGAAGTGTTCAAGGCCAGGTTGGATGAGGCTTTGAGCAACCTCAAAGTGATTGTAGTGGAGGGTGTCGATGCCCATGGCAGGGGGGTTGGAACTAGATGATCTTTGAGGTCCCTTCCAACCCTAACCATTCTATGATTTGGTTGTTTTTTAATCTATGGTCCAGACTACAATCTGCCTACACTTTTTTTTTTCCCTAGAAGAACTGAACCTGCTCCCTAGCTAAGAACAAAAGCACAGCCCTACTTCAAATAAGTCACATAAGGAGAGTTATAATCCTCAACAAGATCCATCAATGTTCAGAGATCCAAAATACCTGCTTGTCCTAGGCTGTCATGAATTTGTGCAATACGTAAGTCATCAGTATCACCAGTGTCTCTACCGGGATACTGAACACTGCCATGGGATCAATTCAGTATGTGCCCATGTGAGGTCACCTTGTGCAGGCGGTCTGAGGCTCACCATATCCATGTCAGCTTCACCTTTGCTACTTGCATCACGAGGAGGCAGGCCCTAGGTATTACCATTCTAAATCAGAAGTCATTGTGTCACACATTTTAAATATCAAGAATTCTTTACTCTATCAACTTCTGCTTTCAAAGCCAAGCAGACAGATCATTCATCAGAGTCTCCCAAGCTGATTTCTATGTTAAATGCTGTATGTTCTTGTTAAAATTCTTGTCAAGATCAGAAGCTTCAAGGCTGCTGTTGTGACTGACAGCACTTCTAAACTGTTTAACTAGTTGGATCAAAGGAACTTAAATTCTCCATGTCACAGGTCAGCTTATACTTATAAGTGCTTATACCCTGTTTTACTTAGATTTCTTACATTTCAGATAGGCCTCAACTTCTCACAATTTAGTTACAATTTTTAGCCCCAGCACCATCCTGCCCCCAAAATCCATAAACAAATCTGCACTGAATCGCTTCATGCTTTTTGAAACTGATTAACATCTCCTTGGTTTGTACAAACAAGCAAACAAGTACAATTATCACTTACAACTGCACATTCAGGAGGCAGAAATCAAGTCAACAGTATCCACTGCATCCTATCACAGTCTTAATTATGAGTCAGGATCTCTCCCTACATTATCTAATGTGGATACCTGATTTCCCAGAAAATCACTATTAAATAGAAATAGAAGCATAGAGTTTGTCAGACAAAACCCTATGCTTTTCTAGTAAGATCCCCAAAGAAGGTCCACGGAATAGGAACACTGTATGAGAAATGCCAGTGTATCTTAAACAGCTGGCTGTAAATTGAAGCGCGAAGAAACCATCATCTTCCACACGAACCTGTGGAGACTGATACATAGTGTATCTGGACAAAAGAAATTCAGTATTTCTGTACTAAAAAAAGGAGTTAAAAACTTTGAGAGGGCAATTACACTCATTTCTCTTTTTTTGAACATCAATGAAATACAAGCATGAGCTATATTTTCAAAGTTTTGTTGAGAATCTGAGAAATTCTTGGTTTATGCCTGAAATGTTATGACTGCTGTCATTTTTCATATTAAAAAGTATAAAATACATGTAAATACATGTGGCTCTTAAAAAAAAAAAAAAGCTCAGAGCCCTGGACTCCTATGTTGGTCCCTCCTAAAGGAAACTAAATGAAAGCATTCTCCACAGTTCTTACTGCCTTTCACCGTACTAGAAAAAAGCTGACAATAGGACCAAAGTTCAGTAAATAAACACAACCTTGCTCAGAAACAGGAACCTCCAAAGCAGTTAGAGATTTTTGTCTTGGTACTTTTATCTGATATTGAGGACGTCCCATCCCCTCTTGGATCAGGGTTGTGTTTTGTCAGCGGAAATGCTGCTAACAAATTAAAGCCATTTCAGTGGCAATAATATCCCAGTCAGCATGTCTTGCCTTTGGTGACTGAACCAGGTGCACTGTCATACTAATTATACTGTCTCCAAAACGCTGACACACATGTTTCAGGTTACACATTTAACACAATGAAATTACTCTCAGGTGAAAGCACCTGCAGAAGCAGGACCTTCGATCCTAGGGCAAACCTTGAAACAAAGACAGGGTGTATGGGGAAACGCAGAGTAGGAGAATGGTGCCGTGCCAGCAATGAGATACTGAGCCAATAATCATGCTGAAGATGAAGGATATTCTGTCTTGGTGGAGCAGAACACAATTAAGCAAATCCCATTCTTCGAGCAAGCACTGTTTTTGCTGTTTGCAGACAGGCAAGTTGTGTTTGGAGCCGGCTGCACTTCACTCTGGGGTGAGGAAAGCTGTACGGAGAGGATGCAAGAGCAAAGGGCTTGATTTCTGCAACTGTCATGGCCAAGCGAGTTACAGCACAGGTGTCTCCATCAACTGCACATGATCTAAATGAGTCAGATAAGCCGGGCTTGGTTCATTGCAGTCACCTGCAAGCATGCAAAGCTGTTTTAAATGTTACCTGGGGAGATGACAACACTTGTAGTAGTGTGAAATCACTAACTGCTGGTACCCCTCTGTTAGCAGCCATGGCTTTTCTAAGCATTGTTAAGTATTGAAAGGATGTAAAATTACAGTAAAAAACCTGCCATTTATTTCTTGTGACTAGCTTATGAAGAATCAGAAGCATTGCTAAACAACTGCAGCCAGAGCACATAAAAAATACTAATGTCTTCCCACCAGCCCACAAGGAAAGATAACGAGGCTCATCTCCTTCGTATTACACGATCCAATTTTGTAACATCTGGGTTTCCAAGGAACGCCATT